TATTAAATATACTTAAATATTGATTTTGCTGTCTGGTATGAGGATAACCAAAGCTATCTATATCTCCTGGAGAATGAAAAGAGGATGAAGATATTCATACATGCAGAGCAGGGCTCCAGGCAGTTGGCAAATGCACATGAAGCTCATGAAACACCTTGGCATCTGTCCTGGACCTAGGGCTGATGCAGAGGTCTCACACAAGGGCTGCTGCAGGGGCTGTGCACAGGCATTGCCCTCTGCCCCAGGTGGGACTGCCTCTGACAAGCTAGATGGGAGCACTTTTTGTGTTCTCTTGGGAACCCAGGCACTGGCCTCCACGTCTGTCCTGTGACAAAAATGTCTCTAAAGTTGCCCGAGTGTCCACACACTCACAGACTCACTCCTTGGGCTGCCAAGGATTGCTGCAGACAGGAGAATTCCATGGTGACAGCAAAATTTTCCTGCATTCCCAAGCAGCTTTCTGCCTGTTAACATAGACCTGCATTTGGTCTAGGATTCAGGTGAGATGGGGCTTTTCTGTACCATTGCCTCACCATTACCACTCCAAGCCAAACTGTTTTATTATCACTGGGGAGATGAGCAGCCTTGGTGCACATTTAGAGATGATTGTGCATCTGGTGATGGCCAATATGGCTACAGTGCCTGCTGAGGAGCTTTGAGGGTCATGAGATGTCCCTGTGCGATGGAAGATGCCTAGAGCAGAATTACTTATAGCTCATTTGCTCTTAGCCAGGAAATCAGGCAGCAATGAGCTGGGTCTTAGTGACGCAGATATATATAATGAAGCTCTACCATATGTTCCTTTCAGAATTCCTATAATTTCATTTACCTAATTTAATATGTTTGGCATTACATAGAATATATACTCAACATACTGACATTCACAGCAGATACTTCTAGCAGACTAAAAGGTCTCAAGATTGTCCACAGAAGGACGCAGAGCCTGTCTTTACTCAGCTAAAATATCCATATGAATTTCAATGAACATTCTGTTTCTTGATGAGGAACATGAAAAAAGGCCATCTATTTCTATTTTAGCCTAATAACCATCCTTCTGTCACTAAGACAAGTGAGCTTGAAACTGCTTCAAAATTTTCTTTTTTTTCCTCTGATCCATCATTATTTAAAGAATAATAATAAAAACATTTAATGCTCAAAAGCATTTATTTAAAATCCTGTCTTCTTAAAGGATTACACTTAAATGTCACTTCTAAAAAAAGATGTATCTAATTTCACCATTGTCTCTCTGAAAGGTTAAGTATGTAGAGAAAAATTAATGCTTATGTTGATGTACAGATTATCTGTCTTGTCATTCAGTTTGATATTTTTCACAGACTATTTCAATGAATGACAGATAAATTGCAGTTGCAACTGATTCTGGATTTTCCCTCAAGAAAAAGGAAATAGAGGGGTTAAACCACCTCAGGAGCTATAATTTCAAAACATTTTTAAGGGCTGGGGATTTTTGTCATAGACATATATTTGTGTTTTGGGGAGAGAGCAAACTCCACGGCACATAGTGAAAATTTGTTTAATATGTAAGTCTTGAAAAGCAATGACTTTTTGATAGAAATAGCTTAATGCTCTCTCAAACTCCAGACAGGCCTTCACATGCCTCATATTTATGCAGATATGACTGACTTAATGCTTGAATGACACCATTTGCATTTTCCCTCTCAGGAAATACTGTGCTAATGCTCAGGACTGGAGTCTTGGCAGCACATATTAAACTGCATAAGGAAAATCCCCAGCTCTCTGGGATTTGGGTGGGGGAATGTGTTCTCCCACAATCATTCCCAAAGACTACACTTATGTAAATAAAGATGCATCAAGTTCTTCCACCTCCACTTGCCCCACTTGAGCTTATATATGAAGTACCTTTCCAGTCAAATTATATATTATAATTTTATATTATATATATTAATTATATGTTCTGACTCACCATGGTGTAATGACTGGCTTTGTCTCTGAGGGAAGAGCAGTGGATGTTTGTTAGCAAGGCTTTTTACACAGGCTCCCAGTTTTTTTTGCACCAAGTTTGTGCTAATATGGTCTGGAGGAGGAGGTTAAAGCCTGATTAGATGATAAGGCTTGGTAGGCTCCGTGTTTCCTGGTTGGAACAGGATGCCTGCAGTGAATGGGATACCCACGTCTATTCTGGAACCTGTCCTGTCCAATGGCTTTACCAGTGGAGGGGTGTGGTCCCACCAAGTTTTCAGATGACACCAAGCTGGGGGACTGGGTGATACACTGAGGTTTAAGGCTGCCAGCCATAGGGACTGAGACAGGCTGGAGGAATGACACAATAGGAAACTTAGGAAATTCAACCAGGACAAATTCCAAATCTTCATGCACACATGAAGGAAGAGGGCCCTGCAGTGATGTAGGCCAGGACTTATTGAGCCTGGTGAAAAGATGGCTGTGGTGGCACACAGTAACCCAAGAGAAGCCACCCAACACCCATAGGGAGGTGGCAGGAAATGGAGATCAATTCTTCTCAGTTTTTCTTGGTGGGAGGATCAGAGACAGTCATCATTAATTGAAAAAATAGATCAATTATAAAGAAAAGTAATTCCCTCTTGGGAAAGCCAGGCAGTGGCACAGGCTGCTCAGAGATGATGTGCATCTCCATCCTAGGAGGTTTTCAAAATTGGGTGAGATAAACTTGTAAGCAACCTGTTGCCTTATGACTGATCCTGCCTTGGGTAGGAAGTTGGACCACATCTTCTCAGGCTGTTTCCCAACTGAATTATCCTGTGGTCCTAAAACAGCTTCTGATAATGAAGTGTAGCCTGAGATTAGAGGACCTCTTTTTACATATATATATCTCCTGTACTAGGTGGGAGTGGCAGATGAAACTTGCAGCTCCTAGCATGTTTTTTGGAAGTTGACTAAGACCTCTGACATGTATGTTAACAGTGAGCTCCAGAACACTGGGTGGGCTGCAACACAGTATAATCACCCAAAGAATGAGATTTTGCAATAAATTTCCAAATGTATTTGTTGGGGGGAAACTGCTTAATTGGTTCTAAAATACAGCTTCATAAATTTATGAATGGGATTATGGTATACGATTGCCAGCAATGGCAGGGAAAGAATTCAGTGACCCAGGACTGTGTGCAAGCTTACCTCTTTTGTTTAGACAAATGCAAGGCCAAACTCCTCATCTTCAAGAATAAATAAATGGAAAATTAAACATGGTAAATATTGTAAATATTTCATTGACACTTCAGACTGTGAAATCGAAAACAATCTTTTGCCAGTTGGAAGTTATTAGAGTTTGTAGCTGTGAGGCTTGATAACCATGATAATAAATGGTATTTATATTCTAGTGCAAAATGGGTATCAGAACCAAAATGCACAAATATGGACAAACCTAATTAAGCTGTGATTGGTTTATTCATATCACAGCAGCTGAAGGCTATATGATAAACAGCTTCAAAGCAGGTGCAGCATATGTTATTGGCTTGATTATTAAAAATTGACGTTTTATTCAAGCCCAAATTTTAAAAAGAAGATTATATACAAATTCAGTCATGCTATAATGGTATTTCATCGCAACAAAACCCTTATTTTCTTCATGAAGTAATTGCCTAATTCCAGTTTGTCATGATAAATCAAGCCTGAAGCCAAGCACAGGAAGATCTAAAAAAAGTCAAAATGCTCTTCATGATGCACGGTCCAGGATATAACCTTGCAAGAGTCAAATATGGAATAGTAGCACACATATTTATAGCCAGGTCACAGAAACTTTTTATAGCTAACCACAGTTTCAGTGGAAGGAAAGACATGTTTCCACAGTAATGCATTGTACAAAGGCAGCATTTTTCAATTGAGATACACCTGCCAAAGATCTGACTGCACTCAGGGGACCCAGTCAAAGCTGTGTTTACACCTCCTTCAGTTTTAATAAAGCAGCAATCCACAACCATAACAGGCACATTTCATACTTACTGTGAGGATATATGGGGTGCTGCTGACTTCCTGCAGCAGGTTTGGGTACAGTCCTGAGTGCTCACAAGAAAGGAAGAGCCTTAAAACCTGTAATCTGGAGGGAAGAGTTCCTGCTTCTGCTGGTGCTACTGGAAGAGTGTGCAGGGACCCACATCCCCCGTATGGCTGGTGCACTCCTCAGCAGAAGTGCAGTCAGATGAGTTGGGGCTATTATGGGCTAATCTGGGAGTGGTAAAGTACAATTTTGATTTTGCTGCACAGCACCATAAAGCAAATAGTGCTCAGCCTATAATGAAACTCAATAAAATTCCACTGAGTGATGTCAGGATTGATCACTGTAAGTTGACATTGCTATTTACACCTTCCTCCAAAAATCTGCCCAGTGCAATGTACAAAGTACTGGCATGATGCCAGATTATTCAGCTCTAAGTGCTATTAACCACCAGAATTGCAACTGAAACATAGATGGTAATATAAATATACACAACAGGAATATAATCCTGGGAAAACAGGATCAGAAAAACAAATTTGAAGGGGAATAACATTAGTTTAGTTATGATTAAATAGATTAGTTATGATTGAAAACCCTTTACAAGTTCCCATGAATTAAGTTCACATTGCTTTAAAAAATAAAAGATTGATTTTTAAAGTTTTTATGTACAGTGCCAGCTTCCTGTGCAGAGAATGCTGCCTGGTAGGTATTTGAGTTACTGGTATTAAGAAGTAAAGGCTTATTTCAGTTGGCTAAACTGGGATATACAGTTTTGTGTGAAATTCTGAGTCCTTAGCAGACAGGACAAAATAGGGAAGGTCTTGCTGAAATCCTTCAGGATACCTGACAGCAGCAGGCAAAAATGTGGAATATGCCAGAATGTCTCCAGTGGCAGGAGATGTCTATCCTCAGGCAGTGTAATTGAACCCTAACCATGTCTGTGTTTTATGGGGTAAAAGGATACAGCATGGTTATAAAAGTTATGAGTATTTCTAAGAATTTTTCCAGTGGGGACTTGGGATAGAATTGTTTCATCTACTAGGACAACCATGCATTGCAAGTATTGATCAAGGAAAAATTTATTTACAGAGAATTTTCAAATACAAACATAAAATAGCACAAATTATATATATATTTTACAAAAATGAATATTGAAATAATAAACATGGTACAGCACAATACAACATCAATGAGCTAAACACAACAGCAACAGAAATCTATGTCTGGAAGAAGTTTGCTGTTAGTCATACGTAACCAACAGAGCTCTACAGTACCGTGAGTGGAATTTCCAATGGACGAGAAAACGTCCATTTGCTGCATTTCATAAAAAGTACTATAGTAAGGGTACATATGCCAAGTAATTATGTTGCATTTTGTAATAATGCTGAAAACACAGAGTCTTAATAAAACTTATATAGGGCTGAATAAGCAGTGGATAAATGTTTGGGGAAGAAAAATGTGTAGAGATTATACAAAATACTGATAAAGTGGCTTATTGGTCCTTTTATTAAGTTTAATGTATACATTAAAAAGTGTTGCAACAACGAGTCTTAAACCACCAGAGAGAAGTAAAAAAAACCCCCCCACCAAAAAAAAAAAAACAAAAACCAAAAGTAAGAGAAATTTAAAAGGAAAAGAAAGAAGAATCGCACCAAAAAAAGTTTCCTCTCTACTTATTTTGTGCCATGGTCAACATCTGTGCGTGCGTGTGTGCTTTCAGGAGCGCCGCACTGAGGGGCTGCCAGGCGCTACCCCGGCACGTGGGCGCTGCCACCCCTCACCAGCCTGTCCAGTAATTGGTGCATGCAGGATTTCACCATTTGCCAAAGCAGAGTTTTCCTTATATTTTTGTGGAGCAGACCCTGAGCAGGCTCGGGTGAGAGAGCCTGTCCCTGCGTAGCCCAGCCGGGTGGCTTTGCACCGCCTTTCACCTCCCTGCCACCCTGGGGCCGCCCGCCGTCCCACTCCTGAGAGAAAGCACTTGAAAGTTCCTTGTCCATTGTTGTTGTCCAGCAGAGCTGGGCGGGCCTGGCAGGGCCGGTGCCCGGGGCCGGCTCAGTAGGGGTATTGCTTCTGTTTCTTGCCCGAGAAGCAGGCCAGCCAGGTGCACACCAGCATGGCGGCCGCCGCGCCCCCGCCCGTGCAGTAGTAGGCCCAGCCGATGTGGCAGGTCCCTGCAAGGCAAACAGAGGGACACGGGTCAGCACTAGATGGCAGAAAGCACCGGCGCCACCACCCTCCCCTTCTGCCCACTTTCCTGAGATTTTGGCCTGCTTGTATGGCCACCTCAGACAGGGAACACGGGGCATAATTCAGGCTCTGCCTCTGCAGCGGTGGAGTATAACCAAGGGCACGGGGGACCTGCTCACATCCCCCTCACACAGGCATCAACCCTGACCATCCGCAAAGACGTGTGGCGTCAGGGGACCCACCTGCATGGCAGACACTGTGGGAATGGAAGCATAGAGCCCAGAAATAAAAAAATAGGCAAGTTTCCCTATCCCCAACCAGGGTCACAACTCATTACTGAAAAATTCACCCATCTTCTGTCTAATGAGTATCACAATATGGCTTTGAATCCATTTAAAGGACTCAGTGTCTTTATATAGTCAAACTCATCGCCAGTAAACGGTGCTGGGGAATCCCATAGTGGACCATAAAGTGATTACTTCCCTTTCAGGTATTGTGCCTGCCATAGGGGAGGATATCAGGAAAACAGCAGCTGCAGCAGGGAGGAAGCCTCTTTAGAGATCTCCAAAAGCAAGGAGATGGCTGTTGCTGCTTCTCAGGATTTTAACCCATCTCAAAAGTAATTTTCACTTGGGCTACATCATCTTTGTCTATTTTGAGAGCTTGAGACTTGTTACCACTGAGGTTCTTCCTGTGTTGTTGACACCTCGGGTGGTATCACCCTGCTTTGGGCAGTAAGTGCATTCAGTAAGGCACAAGCGGCAATGCAACACTTCTTTCCCAACCTTCCCAAAAGCAGCAGAAACCATCGTTCCCTTCAGAGAACAGAAGGTAACAACAGAGTTTCCATCTAGAAATAGGTGTCATGTTGGTATTCTGTCCCAATGGCATCCCCCAGGGCCAGGCTTGAGGTTCAGGCAATTATCAGCTTAGCTAATCCTGCCTTAGGCACAAGAAACACAAAATGTCTGTTCATCTTAACATGTCCAAGGCCTTCACATGCCTCAAGGCAGACAGCATTGCCATATATCCTGTCTGCAGGATATTGTCTGGCAGACTTTGAAAGGAAACATTAGTGGGAGGCAACACTTAACGCTCCTGGTCACTTTGAAGATCTCAGGCTGACACCACAGCAGGAAGCATAACACTTGCTTCATTTTTTTTTCTTCCTAGCCCTCACAAAATTTTAATTAAAAAATGTCCAGTGAAACAAAGATACTGATGTAACCAAGAGAACTTGAGGACTTGCAGCCTTGGCTTGAGCTCACTAGCCACTCTCCTTAATGTGCTGGAGCAGACAAAGAGATTTACTTGGTTTTGTCATCTAGTTGTGCTCTGTAGGTAACACCATTCTTGCCTTCCTTACAGGAGTCCACACAGAGTCTGACTTCCTGAAGAGAAGGCCATCAGAAACCCTGGAGAGCTGTCAAGTGCATGGCAATGTCCCTGATACTGACACTTGCCCAATCACCCAGCTGTCCATGGAGAGACCTGTCTCTGGGCCACCTATTGCTTTGCCTGTGTACGCACCCTGTCCTTAGCTTCTGCTGAGAACTTCAAAAATAGACTTAAGCCTACACCAGATGTTTCAACTCACTGGATTGCTTTGAAAATGATCACACTTATACCAGGGTAGGTTATTTCTTGTGATGAGATGGATTCCCTCTGACAGGTCTTTTTAAATTGTGAAATATTCCAAAAACTACTAGAGAATTGTAGTTGCAACTTGACAAAGTAAATTTTTCTCATCATGATGTTTCCAGGTAGAGAAAATGTCAAAATACTACTTTAAAAAGAGTTTAAAGATTCACCTGGTGGCACTGCCCAAAGCTGTAACCTAAGCAGGAGAGAATGAAGTAAATTTGACCTATTGCATGGTGTGATTTCAACTTTTGTACCTTGGCAGTGGGAGAGAGTATGCGTGATACATATTAAGAAGAAAGAGCTGTTAAATCAGTGTCAGAGATGTGTTCAACAGATACAATGCACACATTCACTCTTGGCTGAAGAGAACATTTATTTCTCCATACCATGCTCCATTTACCCAAAGGACCACTGCTCTACGTAATGCTCTGAGGCACGGCAGGCAGGCAGCCTCTTGATCTAACAAATGCAATGTAGCTCACAAGTGTGAGTTGGGTCAAGATGAACAAATGAAAGAATGGGAGAGCAGGCGAACGGATGAAAGAGCTGGGAGCTTGACCTTAGAGCAATAATAACACAGCAATAAACCTGGCCATTATTTCTAGCCCATGTCAAGAGCAATGGGAGGCCTTGGAAAGAATAGCTTGATCTGTACTTGGATGATGCTGAGCAGAACAGAATTTCAAGCTGTTGTGCTGAAGAAGAGCCTGTATCAAGGCAGGTGTCTGAGGGAACAGGACTTAGCTATACTTTTCATTGCAAGTATAGTTAAGGATAGACACAAGAACAGAGATAATCCATCTCAAAGGTACTAATTGCAATGAATGCCTACATTGCATAGCCAGGTGTCAAAATGAAACAATGTCAGGCCTTTTAAAACCCTATTTACACAAGGAGGAAAACATTTTGGAGTCATTGTTTCTGCTTTGGTGTTCTCATTTTACAACATGTATGGCCTATTTTAGTCTACTGCATACTAAAGAAAGATTGTTATCACTAATTTGGTAATTTAGTTGCAGTTTAAATTGTAAAATGACTTCTGCTTCACATTGATATAAAACACTGATTTTAAAAGGATCAGGAAGCTTTATAAAAGGCAGAGTTGAGAAGCTATTACTGCACTCACACCAGCAGAGGACTAGTCATGTTTCAGTAGTAAGCAAATGTTGAAGAGATTTGCAAATATTTTGGGGCTTAAATTCAACCATCAAGTTGAGAAGTTTGCATTCATAGAGCCTGTCATATAAAAGATTAGAAAACCAGTATTGCAGTTTCCTTTTTTTTTTTTTTAATGACAAAGTTCTAAAATGAAAAGCAACACTACCTAAATACTTGATAGAATTAAAGCGGTTGTTGAAACCATGTCAATTTTCACACACACACAAAAAGGCACAAAAGCTTTGTTGTTTCTCTGAAAGATGCATTGGAATACACATATATACACAGGTAAAAGAATCCCCTTCCACTGAGGGTGTGGAGATGCAAGAAAGAAAGATGGGCTAGATCTGAGTTTGAGCCAAAATAAATTCCCAGCAGCTGAAGTGCTCTTCTAGGTGATAGAGATGATATGCATTACAGCAGTTTGCTTCCCTGCAAAGAACTGCTATTGCTTTTAACAAACTAGTCTTCACCTGACAGGTGAATACAAAGGGAGAGGCTGTGACTTCAGCACTTAAGCACCTAGTTAATTCTAGGGTTTCTTGGGGGAGGGTTTGTGGGCTTGTGTTTTTCGTGGGGTTTTTTTGGTTGTGTGTGTTTGTTTGTTTGTTTGTTTTGATGGGATTTTTGTTTTCGCTTTTTTTTGGGTTTTTTTTGTTTTTTTTGTTTAAGAGAGCATAAATAATTTGAGCTCCTGGTTGTTCAGTAAAGTAGGACTGTCCAAGTTGGCTCAGATAAGCTTGTAACAAGCCATTAAGAACTTTGTTTTCACCTTTGTTTTACTGGGACTGGCTGCAAGAGTATCAGGATAAACACTGAAATAATGGAATCATGGAGCTTGAAGCTATAGGCACGGAAGGCCATTTTCCAAGCAAATAAAGGAATGGAAGACTGGAAACATTGCAACCTTTTTTAAAAGGATTGAGAAAAATCATTGTCCCTGAGGACTGAGGACAAAAATTATGGTGAGAAGGACACTATCAAAAGAAGATTTACAGAAAAGAGTCCTGTGGAACATAAAACAATATTTACTAAACCAAAAGAAATCAGTAAATGTGGAAAGGTAATTTTGCAGTGATTAATGGGCTTACTAAAAAGCACTTCCATGCCTTTTCCTGATTTCTAATGTGATCCTCAAGGCCAGGATATGCATACCCTTGCTCCCCTCCTCCTCTTAAATATATAGGCAAATAAAGAACAAGACAAATTTGGGAGCAAGTAAAATTTGGCAACAGACAATACACAGATACTTGATCTACCATGGAGCTGTGCCAGGATCCAGTTGCCAAAACATAATTTTACCAGGATTTCTATTCATGATGTCTTATAAATAATTATCACATATAGTTATCGAGGTCTTGGAAATAACATATGGTTTCATCTAAAATAACCAATAATTGCCACTTATGAAAATATATCCTGAATATGAAAGTGTCTTGGATGCAAACCTGTTAATTGCAAGACTTAGTATCTTAAATATTTGTACCTTTTTTGCTGTTAATTTTAAGACTATCCTGGACTTGCAGTCTGGAGTATTTGGCAAACTCTAATCAATTAATCTTAAGTACAGCCTATTTTCCAAGTTGAAGGAGAAAAGGTTTCAGAATTAGCCAGACTGTAGAGAATAAATTATATACCTTCAAAAATAAAACCTACAGTTCCTACTTCCAAGAAGCTGTGCAGGAATTCTAATTAACAGGTTCACATGAGAGTACAGTACTCTAGAGAATGTGAATTCATATAATCATTCAAGGTGCTGGAAAAGTAGTCAGAAAAAAAAATTATAAAGAGTGTGATGCTAAGGGATATGCTGGGATTTGGAAATAAGAAAGACATAAATGAATGTAAAAGATAATCAGCTAATTAGTAAGAAGGTAAAATTATTTTGAAACAAAGCCAAGATAAATTAAATAGCTGAAGATCTTTTTCTTGACACAGCAACAATGAAAAACTGTCATATGAAATCAGCTGCAAAAGCAGGAAAAGAAGTTGGAACTTGGAATACGTCCAGAAAGAACTAAAGTAGTTATGTGAAACAAAGAAAGAACACTATATAAGGTAAAAACTACAGCTCAGGAAACAGCCTGCTACAAAATAATGAATTCCGTGGAGATGGTTACCTTTTCTGTTGCACAGATATTACTTTTTCAATGGATTTATCTTCTAAAAAAATACACAATTT